ATCATGTGGCATTGCCGCGCGACAAACCGGCGCGACAAGAGTTTGTAACAGAGGGGGGGGGTGGGCCCCGCGACAACACGGGGTATTGACCCATGCCCATGTGAATTTCTGCTGATGAGCTTTAAACCCGCCGTCTGCACACTGAATACTCACAAACAGGCGTTGTAGGAAGGCTCCCCTCGCCGTATTCGCAAAGAGGTCTGTTTCGTGACACCGTGAAGATTGCCGGCGACTGGGCCGCCGCCCGTCCCAAACTCAGGAGCTCAAGCTGAGAAGTAGGTCCTTCGAAGAAACGTAAGCTGCCAAGCACATCAACTCCCATGAGACGGTCGCGTTTCGTTTGCTTCTGGTTTGATTCGGTTCACGCTGGACACTTGCAGCCTTGCATCGCTGAGTGCTCGCCTCGTTGCATTCGCTGTTGGCCGCTTGAGCCAGGTTCGCATGCAGCACCATACGCTGCTTTCCACGCCATGCACGGTTTCGTTACAGTAAGGCACTCAAGGCTGTTTGAATGCCCATGCCAACGTTTCGTGGCCGACAATAAACTTCCTTTACGAGGTCAGCGGCAGTGGTGCCGATGAGGCCAACGGGTGCACATGCTACCGTCGGGGTAGACGTAGCTGACGTTGTTCAAGCCACATGAGCATGTTGAGTGGCCGCAGTTTCCATCTGCAGGGTAGAGCACACTGCTGTTCAGGAGTTTCATGTTCATGTTTTCAGCAAAAACACGTGACATGCTTTTCGGCCGAACCTACTGACTAGGATGTCGTCGGGCATGCTTCTAGTGCAGCGGTGAGTTTCAGCAGATTGCTTCTTGATCCACGCCACGCTAAATACTACGGACCTAGATGGCAAGCCCTCCGCACGAAACACAGTCCCATACCACGTTCCGAAAATATTCATTCTGCTAGGGTGCAATCTTGCTGCGTGTTCTTATGGCCGGGCCAGAGAAGTAAGAACCGCTGTTGTGACGATTCCGGTTCGGTTAACGTTGTATGATTCTGAGGGTGATGTATTACTTGACTTCAGTCCACGACACTTTTTGGCAGTCGTGTTGATTCACACTGCCCCGTGAGGAGGGCCCTTTACGCACCTTCCAACCTGGGTCACCTGCACCTTTTCCGGGAAACCTGTCGGAAACCTGGTGTAGAGCAGCATGAGATTTCGTTTGTTCAGTTTGGTCGGGAGACAGTCGCAATATTTCGCGGTAGGGGATGCCATGAGCCCAAGATTGATGCAAACAAAGCTGGCAGGGGTTGGTACCCTATCTTCCGCGAGGCCCCCTTGGTAGAGTCACAGGCTTTGGTTGTGCTGCGCCACCAAGTTGAAGGGTCACACAAGCTCACAGGGTGGCAACTAAGACGCACCGATGGCCTGTACATGACTGTTTTCAGCGTGAAGGTCATGACCTTCTCGACACCATGCCAGACTGGACAACTTACCGGTTGAGGCTCCTGCTCATGACCTCGCTGTGTGATATGAGGTCCTGTCAACATGCAGCTTGCAACACGTTCGTTTTGTTGTGCTGCGGCACCTCGCAACGGACGGCAGCGCTTTCACACAGCAGCTAAAGCATCTCCACAAGTGAACGACTGCCTTCGCCGGTGGGAGGCAAATGTCGTCGATGTCAGAGAATTTTTGTGTCATCTCTGCCAGCTTGATCGTGTAACCATTTAAGGCAGAGGGGCGAGTGCGGCCTTATCTTCTACTTTGATTCCGGAAGCTTGACATCACTCAAGCAGTCTTGGCGGCAGGTGTCGAGCATTCCCAAGTTTGCGAAGTGAAGCACACCATGCAGAGTCAGATCACTTGAGGGGTGCGGGTGTCCAGCTGGCCTGCTCGGACAGCAGAGGAGGACTCATTCGGCACTTGGATGGAATGCTTGTGCCAAAACGCAAGTTGGCTATGTATCGTGGGGCTCCACCCCGTGTCGGGTATTACCCGAGAGGTAGTGGAGCTGCGCGAAGCCATAGACGGTCCCATTGCTGGTAACCTCTCTCTCGCCAGACGAAGGGAGGCTGCCGCAGCCTGGTGCCGAGTTCCTCGTCTCAGTCATCGCATCGTCAGGAGGATCTTGGAGTTTGTCTCGTGCGGAAGACTAGCCGTTGGCCAAAGCTTGGCATAAGCATGCCTTGGTAGAGTCTGGCAGGGTTTCCATTGTGTCGAGGCGTCCCCTTGGAGCGGAGGTGGTAAGTCTTTGCGAGGCCACTCGCTGTTGGAAAGCGTGGGCTGACCTATTGACCCATGCCTGGCTCCGTTCGGGCAGCATTAGTTAGTCGAGGATTGCTGCGCACACAGCGCGTGTTGCGACGGGCAATCGGAGCTTGTTTGCCTCACAGTCGAATCAAGTAACGGCCTCCGCTGCCCAATTTAAAACTCGCAGACCTGACAGCGCTGCCGTCCAACCTGTAAGTGCAGCCGGGTCAGGCTGTCATCGATACCAGTCTTCACGCACAAGGCAGGCTGCGTCAGTGGTTCCTTCGCTTCGCTTCGATGTGGGTCCGAGGCCTTGCGTCTGCGGGTTCGCGCACGCGCATGCTGAGGTCACAACACCTTCTTCCTCAGCGAGGCCCTAGAGTCCTAGAGCCCCGCAGTCTGCGTGCCAGCATTGACAGCCTCGTTGCACCTTGCACACTGTGGCCAGGCTGGCGCTTCACCAGAATCTGATGTACACCGCAGCTAGCTCGCACTGTGGTGCCAGTGCAAATGTAGTTGCGGCTTTATCACCTTAACTCCGTTAACTCCGATTTGAGCAGAAGACAGCAACAGCTGTCGTTCCAAGACCTTGCCGCAAACCTTGGGGGCGACAGGGTGCAGCATGATTTCCTTGCATCATTGCGACCGAGGTGGAGCACATACTCAGTGGCCCGGGGTCGAAGTCCGTCTTCAGCGCCAGCCTCGCGGAATTCGCAGCGCCCCCACACTCAACCGTTAGCACTACAGTGCTAGTGCCAGCTGTCCATATACCGTTGTTGATCAGCCCGGCCGAAGGCTTTGCGTGCAGCCTTCCTGCTCTTCGGAGAGGATGCCCGAAAAGTGCACAAGAATAGGCGCATCGAGCTGTAAAGTGATCAACCCTGTTCATGCATGTAATCTTGCCATGAGTCTGAGTGCGTGGTGCCATGTTAATTAGAGCAGGCAAGCGCCGCAGGACGTGACCAGGCTCCGAACATTGTCACATGTTCAGCCCTGTGCAGTGTGTGTAGAAGGGTCTTGCAGAGGCAAGCCTTGGACCGAGCGACCTCTGCCCGTGATCCGATCCTCATGTCGCTTAGCTTTATGTGACGGGACTTCGGGATTGATCGTTTGCTTGCGTGGCCCAGGCGAGATGCAAATGACGCGGGCGAAATCCTCACCATGTCAGATTCGGCTCCATAGTTGTGTCCAGCATGTGCAAGACTGTTCCCTTGCCTTGCATGTTGGAGTCTCGAAGTTGTGAGTTTCAGTGGTTTTGGGTGTTAGTTTCGGGGCGGAGTTTCGGAACATGGTCCGGGACAGTTTGGGATCAGGACATGGTCAGTTTCGGTTCCCAGGCCATGGCCAGTTTCAGGCCCCGGCCTGCAAGAATCGGACTGAAACTGCCCACATGGCCCCCGGAACTGACAGACCCGCGTCCCGAAACTGACTCTTGCTGTCCGAAACTATCCCCCTCTGATCCGAAACCCCCGGTAGCCGATCCGAAACTAGAACCCCGAAACTATGGGCACCCGAGTAGTCAGACAAGTCTACATCATCTGCAAGAAGTAGTAAAGAGGCGAAGCACAGAGGCACGTATGTCTCACATGGCACTTAGGCTGTTTGCAGGGTCACGGTCACAGGCTTCTTGTCCTTGCAGGTGATCAAAGCGACGACGACGACGACCCCGCGGGAGCCAAGGATCACAAAGATACAGTTATTTTGATTACTTGGAGCACTCCCTTGACGTTCCTTATCTTACCAGTTGCGCCCCTCAAGTGTGCATGTGTTGCTTCCAGTAGATCCCCCATCAATCAGACACTGCCAGACCTAATTCGCGCGTTTGGAGGAGCCCCTGTCGAAGGCAGCGAGCGCGGAACTTGCCAAGGACTGCCTTGTGCTCGGGCGCGCTAACGAAACAAGGGCTTCATAGATCTACAACCTGCAGATTTCGGCCTTTGCTTGGGGGGATACTGTAGCAAACATCAGAGGCTTTCCCAATGGCCGGAGCCCGGGAGCAGCCAGACAGACACGCGAGCTGTGACACGCGATGCTTGCCAGGAATTGTGTCGCTGCATGGATGTCCTGTCGTCTTGGCCAGCGGTGGGCTCACACATCACGCCGTCAGCAAAATCAAGCATACTAGTACTTGCAGGCAGGCTCAAGTTCTGCTGAGGCCTTTGCCTCTGTCCAGCGATTAGCAGCTCGTGTGAAAGCAGAAGGCACGCTGTGCTCTCCGGTCGCCTGCCTCCGGGAAACACATCCGCGTTTTTGGAGCCAGGCCGAAGTGTTACAAAAATTGATTTGGAAAGCCTTCATGCCGCTGGCCCCACACTCAGTGGAGTTCTGGGCCCTGCACACCGACAGTCCAAGTTGCCTGGGCGACTTGCCGGATGTCAGCCCTGGCTGCTTCAAAGTCTATGCTTCGTGCAGCCAGGCGACCACAAGATGCAGGCAGTCCCTAAGACTTCTGAGCGGCCAGCAACACGAGTGCCGCGAAACAGCACTTCTGCAGCAGGAGTTACAGCAAGATGCCAACGCCGCAAGCGCTGCTTACCTCACTTCCGACAGCGAAGATGAAGAAGACGGACAGGTCGTGGCCACAAGAGCCAGTGCACAGCATGCCCACCTGTATTACAGAGTAGCGAGCCTGGGGTTGCAGCATTTTCAACTAAGGAGCATAGCGCTTCAGCCGTTGCCCCAGTCTGATCAGAAAAATGTGCTTACGGTCGCATTGCCGAGCAATTAAGACAATCCTGCAAGGACCTCCGGAAAGATTGCCGATCAAAGGCAAGTTGATTCTTTGCTTCGTCAGTCGGCTGTCCGACTCAACTAGGGCCATGAGTTCAGTCGACGTGGCTCAATTGTGCACACCGGTGCAAAAAAAAGCCTTGCAACTGGCATGCTGACCTGGTGTGTTGAAATGCACACGCAAATCCATGCATGCATGCACGCAGCTGCATGCATGCATGTATGCGGTGGGATACAGGAGCCGGGGGGGAGAGAGTTTCATTGTTTCACTCTCGGCAGGTGTCGGCCATGTTCTCGGATTGGCCCTATCTTCGTGGACTGTCTTTGGCTCCTCGACAGCACTATCTGATCTATCTTGGAAGCAGATCTGAAGCGACCCGCCCCCATCCTTGACCTGTGGCCGAGGGAGACCTGCAGAGGGGCCTTGTGCTGTCCTTGGAAAGTTGGACCTGTCTCAGCTTGAGCACTTGCCCCGTGCAGCTCCTCAGCCGGCTGCCATGCCTGTAGCCGCGCCTGTAGCCTTGTGTTTTTGCCAGAAAAGTTTGCGGAGCCCACTTGAGAAATAGCGGAATGACTCAGGCGTTAGTGCGACAAGTTCCTCGCCAACAACTTCTGGCTGCTTGGCTTGGTAAATCTCGAACGGACCTGCGGAAGGTTAAACGGATCTTATGTCGCAGTGGCGTGTTGAAGTCGGGCAAGGCCGACTGTGAATAGCCTTCTGATCTTCTGTCTTGTGGTTTGCAGGTTGTTTCAGGTACTGAAGCGGACTTCTTCTGATTCCAGACTCCTGTTCCCAAACCACACCTGATTAGTACACAGCGCTTTGCAAGCGATTTTCAGGATCAGAATGTATTAGAATGCTATTGGCCACCCAGCCTGGAACAACCCAGTCCTGCCAGGGCGATGTTAAATCTTGTCAAAATTTGCCCAAGCGGATCCGAAAATGTTCCTTACCCTCACGACCCCCCCAAGAGCGTGGCTTCGTTGAGCCAAGCCTGGGCCTCAGGTTTGGCTGGATGTCTTCGAAGAGCATCGGGTACAGGAGCCCACTGGTTGTTGAGCATTGTAGTGCGGCACGTTGAAGTCTGACATGGTTGGTGAGGCGAGACCACCAACCAGCAAGATTGCTTCAGCGACATGCATGTCTCCTGTATGTCAGGCAAAGTTTCGGAACAGTAACGACAAATGGTATACCAAGCTGCTTCTGCTTCTCGATTTGTGAATCTTGCTATGGCGACTTCTATCCGCGGCTCAAAGCGGTTAGTGCAACGTGCCGTATGAGTGCGAGTAGGAGGGCGGCCATCATGGCTGTTCAACGTGCTTCCGCGGCCAACATGGCGGACGCTCCGAAACAAAATGTGCAGGAAGCTTTGGAGGCGATCTTCACAAAGATGGAGCAGGGGCACATGGAGTCCAGAAAGATGCATTTGGAAGTCTTGCAAGCCATCGGAAGCAGGCAAATAGTCAGCCGGAGGTCCGAGGCCTGGACCCCTCAACCAGGCCGCAGGAGCGCTCCTACCTTGGGCACGGAGGAAAATCTGTCGCTGCACCCGCTCGGGCCACTAGGCCCTGCCCCATCCATGCAGGAAATGCAAAATGCCACACGGCAGGCACTCACAGATTCCTTCTCCTTGTATCAGTCCTTCTCGAAAACTTGGTCCCAGAGGAAGAGCCTCCAGTCTGTTGGAGAGGAACGCCCAGCAACTTGCGTGGTGCCGACGCCCACAGTCCAAGACATCACCGTCCAGAAGCCGAGCTCACCCCACGAGCTGATCTTCGAGAGACCAGGATATGGGAGCATGCAAAGCATGGACAGACAGTCACAAGCGCAGATCCTCAGCACAGGTTCGGATCAAGACTCTGCAGATGACTGGAGCAGCAGACTCTTGACGGCTTATCCACGCTGCCTCACCCTGGCTGTATGCATTCCCACAGTTTTCCAACTCGTATGTATGTCTTGGCTAGCGTGTGCCGGCTATGTCAACAGCACTGCGTTTGCGCTGAATCTGGTTTCGACGGGTGTTTACACAGTTCTGGCCCTTGTATCAGTAACTTTGTTGGATCAAGCTTGGCGTTCCTCACACTTCGAGATTGCAGTGGCGCGGCTGCAGCTTCTGATGGAAGACTTTAAGAAGCGCTGGCGCGTTGCATCCTGCAGAGAGTGGCGAAGGTACACTGCTGCGTGGCTTGTGAGCTTAGCAACATTCGCTGCATCACAAGTGCTCCAAGCATGGATGGACGATGAGGAGGGAACCAGTGCCAAGCACGGAATAGAGAGGCATTGGGTCTACACCATGGGGGCTCTCAATCTGGTAAGCTATGGAGTGTCCAGTGCAATAGTGCTTCAGGCAGCTTTCATTCAAACGGACCTCTTGCTTGGCCTGGACAAAACGTTGGACTGTTGGTGCTGCCAAATTGTGAGCCACAACATGGACTTCAGCTTAGGTGCCGAGAGTTGGAATGCTATCCAAGCGTTGCTGAAATCTGTTGCACGCGAGCTTGCATCGAGTTTCCTGGCACTTCAGATCTTGTCTGGAGTTGGTTTCGTCTACTTCCTGGCAGTCGGCGTGACTTTTGTGTTCCGCTCGGAACACCGGCCCTTGCCGCTGCTGGTCGAAGGCTTGTCATCCTTGCCCCTCGTGTGGCTTTTCCTGCTCAGCTTGCATGTATGCGCGCACGGTGCAGAACTGACAGAAAAATGTCAGGGCATCCCTGCATTTGTCAACCAGATCTTAACGAGGAGTAGCCTCGACGCCGACAGACAGTACTTGGTACGATTTATTGCAGACAGCTCGGCCGGCTTCATTGTCAGAGACACGAAGCTCACAAGAGAGCTCTTTATGAAGCAGCTCTTTCTTTTTGTCGGGTTAGTTTCTGCGCTTGTGAGCGTACTTTCACGCTTGTACTTCTGACCTTCGCCAGCGTGCACCCACAAAGTGCACAGACAGCGATGTGTATTGTCATGCATTCAATTTTGAGGCCCTGAATCGCTGCGCCTTTTGCAATTTCAGCCTGAAGTGGCATTGCTTGCAGCCGAGCATGCGCTGAGTTCTTGGGAACGAAAGAATCGACGCCTCGCTTGCAGCATAGCCATCTTGGGGTCTGTGAGCCCCTTTGGAACATCCGGGTCCTTAGAGGAGCTGCTCCGGGCAGACCATCTTCTGCGGCGTTTTGCTATCCTCCGCGAGGCCCCTTACCTACAGGTAGCGGCCCTTTGGCAAAGGACATGGAAGAGATTTCAAGGGGGTGGGGAGGGTTCATCTAGACGAGAGTCGTTTCAAGTCACTCGCCATTCGAGCCCGCCACGGCAAGCCTACCTTAGGAAAGCCGCCAAGTTCAAGGATTTGATCTCGGGATCTGTCCACTTTAAGCTCCAGTGTGCCTGCGCAGGCAAGCGCGGAGACGCAACTCGTTTGGCCCACAAAGAGAGTCAGGTCGCTCGTCAGGCTTGTGCTATGAACCTGCAACACCTGAGGTAGCGTGTGGTCGGTCTGTCGGTTTCGGGCCACAGCCTACGTGGACTGCCATGGTGCAGCAGGAACAGACAAAGCTCCACGTGAAGAGCTCGGCCCGGCATGACAGCAAAGCCAGGCCCCGAAGCCCGAAGCAACTCTCGGCCTAGGTTGCATTGAAGTGGTCCCGGCTCCTCTTCTGGTATACGAGTGGCCAGTTCGTCGTGTTCAAGGCATTCGAAAGATGTTCAAACGCAGAGTGTGGAAAATTGCTCGCTGGCAGGTGGCGCACCTGAAATGCATAAGAGAGTCTGCACCTCAAGTGCAGCCACTTTTAAAGCTTGCGCTTGACAAAGACCTTGTTGCTTTGAATTTCTGCGAGTCTCTCGGTCAGATCAGGGCTGCTGCAGCATGGATAGTGCAGCGCGGATCATCGTGGAGTTCTTGTGCCGTGCACCTTCGGCCCCGTTGGCTTCAGGAAGCGGCGAAGAATGGTGAAGATCGACATCGCAGAGGCTCCTTGTCGGAAAGGAGCATTGTCCGCGAGAGCATGTGCTGCTTGCTGGTAGTTTGATGCGGAACAAAAGCCAATCCTCACGGAAACGCTGCAACGTGATGAGTTTCGGAAGGCTCCAGTTCCTGCAGACCGCGCGCCTGGTCTAGACGCAATTCGCACCTTTAACGCTCCTTGACCAGATGTGCCCTCTGTGTGTACACTGCTCTCTTGGGCATCGATGATGCGATTTCATGGCCGCCGAGAGGTCAACGTGTCAGCTCTTCTCGCGTCCGATGAGGCGGAAGTGTGTGTGTGTGTGTGTGTTGCGCCTGCCACAACGAGACAAGCCAACAGTGGCAGTTCGAATGTTCATTCTTCCCAGCTGGTGCATCCTGGTGCCAGGCACGCGCAACATATAGGATCTTGGCAGAAGAAGCCCAGGGTGGCAACCATATCCAGGAAATACCGTCAAAAAAAACATGCGTTGGACCCGGAGTATGTGTGTACTGCCAATCCATTCTGAAGAATCCTTCAAGTGAATTTCAGTTGTTTCGGAGTGATAGTGTTTTCAATACTGAACAGAATACACGATAATTTCATGATTTCTCAAGTTGCAGAAATTCATCGACTCAAATGTGCTTTGCTATAGTAAAATGATGGGTTCTCTGTTTAACTATTTATTTTTGCACGAGATAGTTTTATTCTTGTTACTTGATTCGTGCTGTCTCGTTCTTCGAGATTTGTTGCCCAGGTTCTTGACGGTGTATATAATTCTGCACGTAGGAGGTACGGTCGCCGCGCTCAGAGGGGCAATATCCCTAGTTAGTGTTATTGGCTGCTGCATGGCATCTTCACCCGATAATATGAAGTTATGGTGTCTATGAGCGAAATACTGACGGTGTTCGTTGAGTTCGCGCTGCCTATATAAGAAACTGTTTATTGGCGGCTAGTCTTGTTTTAGTTATTGATCTATATGATTGTGGGTATATATGGCGGCCGATAAGAAGAAAATAGATCCATATTAAAAAGAGAGAGATAGAGAGATATATATATATATAAATATGTATACGGACCATAAATATATATTTATGGAGATCTTAAAAATATATGAGATTTTAATAAAATTTAGAATTATCGGTTTATATTGAATTGTACTTAATTACAAATAAGTCTATATTATAAAAGATATATGAATTAATTATTAATGAATATATTAAAATATGACTCTCTGATGATTCTTTTAGAAATTTAGTTTGGATTCGTTGGCTTTCTTAATAAAATGGTATCGTGCTGGTAGCACGTCTCTGACTCGGATTTTTTAGGAAGTTCCTGACCCGGCACGTTTCTTTTTCAAAGCCTCTTGCATGCTTGTCTCGTGGCACTAAAAGTTTAGAAATATTGGTAGCTTAGGAGATCTCGCGGTATTAAAATTTCAGAATTTTTGGTAGCTTTAGAGGGACGTGCTCTCGCTAATAAAGTTTCTAAACTTTCGGGATGCTCGCGGTCATAAAATTTCAGAAATTTTAATATTGCGAGCTCTAGTGCCGTGCATTCTGAATGGGTGTTTCTCTGTGTACGTATGTGTGTGTCTCTGTGTGTGTATGTGTCTTTGGGCGTATCTCTATAATTTTTCAATAGTTGGATTTTATTTCTACCTATTTTTGAGATTATCTATAATTTTATTTTGAAGTTATATTGAATCCTAATGAGACGCAGTATTTCAATGTGATATCTATCTATATGGCGGGAATATATTTAAATATTGAATTATCTTGGATTGTAATATGTCGGATCTAAAATTCTCTTAGATTCTTGGGAGGAATCTTGGATCACGCCTTGGATATATTATATTGAAATTCTAGAGAGTCTCAATATTTCAATATGATGGATTTAAGATCTAAGATTCTTTTCAAGAGCTTTACCCAATCTTGGATCCAGCATATTGAGTTTCAATAAAATTCAATATTTTAATCTGATTTTCTATGAGGCGGAACTATATTGAAATCTAATAGAATTTAATATTTTAATATGATCCTCTGACCTTTGGTATTCTAATTTGCCCGGCTTGTGGGATATTCTGAATATGTATCGAGAAGACGGAATCTTATTTGCCATATATATTGAGCATTCTCTTATATATGTGCTTTTATACCATACGTGCGACTCAAGGTGACGCATATATATCTCTAGATTCTGATTAATTCGGTGAAGCAAATTTTCTAATAGTGCTTTCATGGCAGCGGATCTACTAATAGTGCTTTCATGGCAGCGGATCTATGCCGTCCCCGCTTGGAAATCTATACTGTTCTCACTCTCCTACAAGACCAAGATAATGTAGCAGCTCTTGCAAATATAAATCGGAAAAGGGCTCTCAGTGCAGCATTTCAAATTATAAATGAGTTTGAACTCCCTTTTTCATTATTATGAGCATCTTATATTTTAACTCTGCGCAAATATATAAATCCTGCATCCTAGGTGGTCTATGGCTGCTCGTCACTTTAGCTCTTGTTGATTTTCGAGCCAAAGATTTTGGATTTTTAGAAAGGCTTTCGGGCTAAGGATTTTAGATTTTCAGAAAGGCTTTCGGGCTAAGTGTTTTAGATTTTCAGAAAGGCTTTCGGGCTAAGTGTGTTAGATTGTCAGAGAGGCTCTCGGGCTAACTGTTTTAGATCAGTTTTCAGGGCTTGCTTTTGGGCTAACTGTTTTGGATTCGTTTTCAGGCTAGCTGTTTTAGATTCGTTTTCAGCGGGCTTTCGGCTAGCTGCTTGAGATTAGGTTTCCAGAAGAGCTTTCGGGCTAGCTGCTTGAGATTAGGTTCAAGAG